CTGATGCCGTCACAGGTGAGGGCAGGAATTGGGGCCTGGTGGGCTCTGGGTTTCCTGGAGATAGAAAGTGAAACATGGCCTAGGATGGGAATGTTGAGTTCCTCTGGCCATGGGTTGAGCTCTTGATTTCCTGGTTTTGATTGGATCCACTAGTCATTGCACTGAATTTCAAAGGGGCCAATGGGTAATGGATTGTGTGATGCCCGTTCAGATGGAATTGTGGCTCTTTGAGTTATTGACTGCTTGGTTGGGTGAACAGATACTTGTATGGAAACCTTTGGGCTCTTACCTCATTGCCTCTCTGCACTGGATTTAGAGTCCACTGGGCCCTGCTAGGGTCCGTTTGCACACTGTTGACAATAGGAACTTTTCTTGAGCTCTAGAGAGATTTTGTTGGAAGGATGGATGAATTGTTCATATTGTCGTTTGTTTGCGGATGACTGATGCAATGGATTAATTTTTTTTTAATATAAAAAGACATTGTTGGATGAACATACAGCAACTGGATGGATGGAGGGATATGAGTTTCTATAGAACAATGGGTGGTTGGAAGGACTGTTGGATGCACCAAATGTTGGAGGGATCTGCATTTGGGGAAATGGATTGTTGGACTCTTAGTATATAGTCTATAGCAGAGTTGAAAAGGACCAGGATGGACCTTGTCCTTTGCTCCTGGCCACACACAGGAATTATGCCCTACTTCTGAAAGCAGTGTTCACACTCTTGTAGAGCTGGATAGTTGATGGTGTGGTGGAGTCACAGGTGGGAGGTGTCCCTGTGGGGATGGTGCCTAGGAAGCAATTGGAGATCTATAATGCACTCCAATGCCCCCTGTGTGTGGGAGTAGTGTGGGTGGGAGTCACTGGGATACTACTGTGGGGTGGGAGTGTCTTTGTGGTCAGTGGGTGCTGTAGTGGTAAGCAGGGCTCTCAAGAGGCCTTTGGGGGGAGTCCAAAAGAAGTTAATGGGAGGGAGAGTATGGGACACATCCAAGGGGGGGCTGCGGGGCTCAGTGCCCTCCATCTTTTCCCAGGTGCCCCAGGAACACTGTGGGTGGGGACGCTGTGGCCCCGTCGTGCTCAGCTGCATTGGGCACCTCCCCATGTCTCCCCTGATGGCTACAACCTCACCTACGGACCCCTCGGAGGCCTCATGAAGGTAACACTCCATAGCACTCCCTGAACTTCCCAGGGGACCTCTGTATCTCCTGGGGTACCCCAATATGCCTATGGGGGGATCCCAGTAACCTATAGGGCTCCCCTGCAACTCTGTTTGTGACCCTAGAACTCCTCCTGGGGATCAGCATGGCATCTCTGAGGACCCCAGTGCTCCTCTGGGAACCCCCCACAGCCTCCTGAGATCCCCACTCACCCCTTTGGAGACCCCAGTATTCCTTGTGGAGACCCAGATATCCCCTCAGGGATCCCGATGCCCTTTTGGGGACCCAGATAACCTCCTTGGGGACCCTGCTCCCACCATGGGAAACCCAAAAGCCCCCAAGCACCCTAAGAGTCCCCCTGCACCCCGCTATCCCTTGAGGGTCTCAATACCCCTTTTGCAGCACTCCCATCCTCCTCCTGGGCCCCTTTATGCTCCCTGGAGACATTAAACAGCCCTGTAATGCCCTTTAGGGACCCCCATAGCAGTCCAATAACCCTCCCATGTCCTCCTCCCCAGACACTCCAGCTGCCCCCTGAGACAACATCCAAGGAGCTGTGGGGCCTGGAGCCCACTGGACACTATAGGGTGCAGCTCCAGGGCCGGGGGCTGGAGCCCCTTGAGACCACCTTCAACACCCGTGAGCTGAGAAAGGAGGTCCTGTGGGGTGGGAGTGGGCACCCAGATGTCAGGGCACTTGGGTGGGAGACTCTGGGGTACCCAAGTATCTGGATGCTTTGTGGTGGTGGGAACGCATGGATGCTGAGTCCTGAAGTATGGAGGGAGGTACCCAAAAATCTGCATCTTTGTGTGGGGGGGCCCTGGGGGTTTCCAAGTACCTGAATAATAGGTCCCTACACAGGGGGGTTCCTTAGGTGGGGGGTCAACAGGATGCCCTCGTCCCTTGATAGGTGAACAGGGACCCCCAACCGGTTGGGTCCAGTGGGTGGGGACACCTACACTGTACTTTGTCCCCCAGCACCCCTTCCCCACCCACACCCCCGGGACTGTGCTGAGGAGCAGCTCAATGGACCAGGGCCTTCACGAGAAGTCCTCATCTTCCTCGGGGGTGACCAGCGACAGCCACTGCGCGTCTACTGCGACATGGAGAGCGATGGCGGAGGCTGGCTGGTGAGGCTGGGGGCAAGGGGAGGAAGTGGGGGGGTAGGGGGGTCTGGTGAGCTCTTGGGGGAGGGGCTATGAGGAGTCTGATGGGCAATGGGTGTCATGGGGTTGGGTGGCTGGCTCTATGGTTGCCATTATAGGGGTTGGGTTGGCAATAGAGGAGTCCTGTGGAGCAATTGGGGCATTTGGAGGTTCTGGGGGGGTTGAGAAGCAACGCAGGGGGAGTGGGAGGAGGCTGGAGGGGAGGTTAATGGGAGGGTCTTGTGGGGCAACTGGGGTAATTCTGGAAACTGCAGGGGGATCTCAGTGTTCCTATGAGACTCACATACCCCCTGTACTATCCATGGGGATCCCAGTAACCCCCTGGAACTATAAATGGGGGAGCACCTAGGGAGAAATCTGGGGCTGTGGTGGGTCTGGGAGAGGCAATAGGATGCCCTGGGGGGCAATACAAGGGTCTTAGGGTGCAATGTTGCGGGTTTAGGGGGAGGTAATGGGGGTCTGGGGGCAGTGGTGGGGTCTGGGGGGGATTCT